GGTCTGCTTTTGTTTTATAGAAGAGACATCACAAAAGAGAGGACACAAGTTAACAATTCGGCAAGTTATCTCACACACATCTGCATAAGGGAAACATTGGCTTGTCAAAGATGTAGCCCGATTAGCTAGTCGCCACAAATAGAGGTTCAGTACTCCCAGTTTCACCCTCTGGGTGATCACAATCAATTTAGTTCTTCGTTGTGAGGCATCGTTGTCAAAGTGACAAGGGAGCAGATTTGGTTTGTCTGCCTTATGCTGAACAGTGTGAAGATTTTAGTGGGAAACTTTTTTTTTTTTTTCCTGTAAATGTGAACCACACAGGGTAATAAACTAGTACAAAGAACGCCTCACCCTCCTCCTTTCATTATGTTTTATTCATATTTCAGAAATTCCGCTCGCCGAAAGCAAGATGCACTGCATTGTTATGTCACGATGTAAAAATGTGGCAAAATAATTGCATGATTGCCCGTTTGAAAAAAACAAAAAAATACCTTTCAAAAGAAACTGGGCCTGTATTCTTGATAATCCCCATAACTCCTTTTAATAGCGTGGCGGTTAAACTCCTATCAAACCTTTGCCAATGTCAGTTACAGTCCACTTTCTACGACTACTTCCTCAGTAAACGTGTAAATTATAGGCGAACTACTGCCTCCCCAGAGCTTTATTACCACAACAGGCAGAGGCAAATGGATGGATCATCTAATGCCCCCAGTGTAAACATATCTGTGGCTGTTCATTCAGTGGGGATTAGAACCATTCAACTGATGACACGGTGCAATGTGTAGCCAGTACATTAACACACACACACACATAAGCGCACACACACACACACACACACACACACACACACACACACACACACACACACACACACATAAGCGCACACACACACATAAACGCACACACACACACACACACACACACACAAGCGCACACACACACACACACACACACCCACACACACACACACACACACACACACACACACACACACACACACACACACACACACACACACACACACACGTATCATATAGCAGCTGAAGTACTCCCACTCAGTCCCAGTTGATGTTACACCTGCTCTCAGCTCAGAACCAGATTTTTCACTTTTTACTGACTAATTTGGTGTAAATGCAGATAGAAATCTTAGCCTAAGCATGTGTCAAAAAAATCCTGCATGTATGATAACTGGTGATTTTTTTGACTATATAATAACATAGTAATATGCTATATCATATTAATAATACAGCTCTGTTACTGTTTGTTTCCATTGGAGTTCATATTCAAATGAAGTTACGCTTCAAAGTACCGAGACACACCCATAAACTGTCAACACTTCCACAGATGGATTTTTCAAGCTGAGAGTTTAGTTTGTGGCTGTTGCCATTTTGCCTGATAAATTCAGAGCAGGGTCCCGCAAACCGTGGCTCCAGAGCCACAGGTGGCTCTATGAACTCTTCGCGGTGGCTCGTAATAATTTGGCCTAAAAAAGAGTGAAGAACCAGCAAGTTTATTTATTTATTTATTTATTTTAAATACAGATATAACAAATGCAGATTTGGGATGTTTTTTTTTTTTTTTTTTTTTTTGCAAGGAACAAATCTAGCAATAGATTTTCATAACAGACTGACATAAGTATGGGTAATGCTTATTACTTTTTTTTCGTCGACTGATATTTTTTTTTATCATTTTCCACAAACATCAACATTCCATAGAAGAAAATGCATCAATCCTCTTTTTGTAAAAGCTTTATGCTGTTCTTAGTTTTAAAACTTCAAAATTTTAAAACGGCTGCTCTTTAAAAAAATGACCACACATTTTCAACTATAGATATGCAATGAAACATTTTCATGTTATCTTTTCACAAAAGGTTATGCGAGATTTGTGGCTCTAAACAGCATTTATTCAGCCGCACTGAAGGCAAGAAAGTGGCTCTTTGGTTTGTGGTTGCAGAGCCCTGAGCTACAGGAACTCTTCATTACAAAGAACTGCAGATATAAAGTCTCCTCACTACTTATGGAATTATTATTCATTTCTAAAGACTGAGAATATTCGGAGATTAACGCTAAATTTGCAGCATGTTGAATTTGCGTGTGTTAAATACATTTTGGAGGCTTTCGCATTGTAGAGTCTTCCTAGTTTGACAGGAAATTAAAGGGAATATTTAGGCTGTCATTTACTAGCCATGACCTAAAGCATTCGGTTTATTATTCATACTACATTTTGTTGCTTTGTACATGTGACAGTGCAATGACAATAAAGTTGAATTCTATTCTATTCTATTATTATTTCTTTTATTATTATTATTATAAATATTTACCCCATAAAATTCAGCATTAAAAAACAACAAGTTGTCTGGTCTGTGACCATTAAGAGGTTGTTTTATTTATGTTAAAATCTTCTTTAACTTCTAATTAAAGCTGTGAGACAAAAGCAACAAAATCTCTGCTTTGCAGTTCCTTTTAAATCTTCCAACAATTAAATGCAATGTTGGACAAATCCAGTCTTAGGAAGGAAAACCGACTTCCAAATAATATACGTTCACACTGACGTTAATCTCCTCCTTTGAGGGTTTGGAGCTGGTTTTGGAGGGATAAGCTGACCGTAAAGTGATTCTCTGCATCAAGACAGAGAATCACTCAACACTGAATTTAAATAAACTCTCGGATATTGGGGTTTTATAAATACTGGTAAATATGAGACTGATAAGCAGTAAGTGTTTTTTTTTTTTTTTTTTACAACCGTAATCAGTAAGCAGCAATAGAAAAAAGTATTTTCTCGAATAATATCTTAAAAATAAGCAGCAAAGACCATCCTGAACAAACAGCAACTTCTTCAAACAATTTTAAGATTTTTTTTTCTTGGTTGTTTTATTATAATTTTTATTATTATTATTGGTTTCCAAACTACCAAAAGAATTTCTTCAAAACTGTTCCAGTGGTTTAAAGACCTTTTCATGTGATGAAACAGAAGGCTGTGGGGAGCTCAGCGTCACCCAGTGGCTCGGCTGGCTAACAGAAAGGCAGTAGCGATTTTGTTTCATTGCTTCCAAGAAGGACAAAGTCGCGAGTTCAGAGATATTCTCCCCCTTGAAAACACTAACAGTCGTGCCACGGAAAGGTGACGCCATTTTAAAGCTGCAGAGGACAAGTAAACCATGAAGCAGCCGGATGCAGATAGACTGACATATCAACTCCCAGCGCTGTTCTAGAAAATTGCTGCACAATTTAGTAAGTATTCTATATTTTAGCCCATAAAAAATGCATGTTTTAATAAGTGTTATATTATAACAATATGTTCTTTTTAAATAGAGGCTTCTCAGTCTGCATCAAGCAGTCAGAGTCTGATGCTGGGCCACGCAGGTAATCAAGCATGAATGGTAGCACAAAAGTTTACATGGCAAATGTCCAGTAGCTTAAATTACAGTTGCTAATTTATACCTGGGTGTGGGGAACATTTAGCGGAAACATGTGAGCTTTTTTTATCGGGGTAGCGAGAAGGGGAAGAAAGGAACCGAGGACGGGATTCGAACCCGAGACGGCCGTGTTGACGTCGGTAGCCTTCGTATACGGAGCGCCCGCGCTAACCACTGCACCACAGCACGGTCTGAACTGTCCGGACATATTAAAATATCAAATTAAAAAAAAATAAAATTAAATAAATTAGCCTGGAGTAGACATGGTTCAGTGGCTCACTGACTTTTTAACAGAAACAAATATGTGAGTGTGAGTCCATGTTAAGAAAAAGCATAAAAAAAGAAAACATGACTTTCAGAGGTAAATACTTTGCTTCAAATCCGATCTTAAAATTTGACTTGGCTTTCTCTCAGTGTAGACATTTGGAATATAATTAAATAAAAGTAAGGAAATACATTTATTCTTCATTGTAAATATGTATATGTGCAGCGTTTTCACAAAAACAGATGGTTTAATTAGTGCAAGTATGCGTGGCACCCTGTGGTCATCACAGAGACAGCCTGGGGAACGAACTGCCTCCATAGCAGCTAATTTTTGGCCTGAACATGAAAACAGCTTGTGTCCAGCATGTGTGGGGTCTGCAGAGACGTTAACTGCCTTTGTCTGACTCTAGACCTATTCAAGTCCTGCCTGATGATCCTCTCTTGCAGACCTGCTGCAGTTTTGAGCCAAGCCACATAGTGACCACAAAATCAACTGAATTCAAGCCAATGACAGATGGAGATAAGCTCAAGGTTTGTTTACACTGGAACATGAACGCCCCATGACATGTTACATTTATGCAAGTAAAAGGACCAGTATCTATTTCCAGCTGGAGGAACCTGTGGAGGAATGTGCCGCCGCCTGTTTAGGCGTTTGATTCGCTTCAACGTGAACAACAGAAACGATTAAAGGCGTGATTGATATAAGCTCATGCAGGAAAGCTCGTTTCATTTTTTTTATTTGAGGGAGAATGTTAAAATGCTTCAATCCACTGGAAAAAAACACACAATCTCACCAAGTATGTTTTGTCTAGCTGCTAGTGCGTTTATAATAATACAGATGAATTAAGACAAAACTAACTCAAAAGTAACTTATCAGCAAGATAAAAAAAAAAAAAATCAATATTGATGGGGAAAGTACAAGTTCCCTTGGAAAATTATTTCATTTATATTATGGGAAAATTGTCTTGTCATGAGTAAATTAATCTGCTGATCAAACTAGAACTTTTTCATCGATATTAAGGAATTATTTTTGTAAAAACAACCTGCTATATCTTACTGAAAAGATAGATCTCATTTCAAGCAAAATAAGACATTTGCAATAGAAACGGGACTAAAACCACTCAGTAAGCGTGTGTGTTTTTGCAGTGTGTGAGCAGCTGCACAACATAAATGAAGCAGAATTGTCAGAGGCATCTGAGCTGTTCCAAGAAATGTGTTTGGGAACGCTTTTTGTGTTCATTCTCTGTGCTTTAAGAAGGCAAACAAACAATAAAACAGCGAATATAAATAGCGTCTACATTTTGCACGTGTTTGCAGGTACCTGGGTTTGCGTGAGGCCCAGTTTGGCTGCGAGGTCAGCCCTCTCGGGCAGGGCGAGGTACTGCGTCTGCTGGAAGCGCTGGTTGAGCGCCTGGAGCTGCAGGCTGGAGTAGATGGTCCGGGGCTTCCGTATCTTTTTGCCCTTCCCGTTCAACCTCACCTCGCCGTTCTCTATCACCGCTGTGGGCTTCTCGTGTTCTGAGAGGCGAAAGGGAAGAGAGCAATTTGCTTAATATGCCTCACTTCAAAGGAGAGCTGGAACAAGCTTTAAGTTTACGACACAAATGCAAAAATAAAAAAGAAACGTTGACTAAAGCACAACGGCAGAATACGGAAATGTTTTATAATTTGGGGAAATAGAAAAATACTAATATATATATATATATATATATATATATATATATATATATATATATATATATATATATATATATATATATATATATATATATATATATATATATCTATATATTTTTTTTTTCTATTAAAAAGCTCCAAACTAAAATGAATGAAGCTTCTTAAACGGTCTGGAATTCTTTGACATACACTGAACCATTATTTATTTACAGTTTGAATCACATGCTGACATAAACAACATTTTGAATGAAAAGGAAAAGTTGGAGGAAAAAAACCTTTTCTTTCAAAAGTCAATTCACTGCCGTAAGCAACGAAACATCAACTGTCCATATACTAATATATTATTATTATTGTTAATTGTGTTTTATAAACACAAAGCAGGCAATGTGTGTATATGTAAGAATATTAATATGAAAGAAATGACTTGATGCAATCCAACGGGTTTCCTTAGAAATGTTTTAATCGACTTTGAATAATTAATTCAGAACACTGAGATCAATTGGATGATTGTGTGACTTAATCAAAATGATTTTTCTGTAAAGTGCCTGAAGGTGACGTTTGTTGTAAGTTTGCGCTATATCAATAAACTATATAGCTATAATAAAAAAAACAAACAAAAAAAAAACCATAAATTGTCTTTGTAATGATCCAGCACACTACTGAATCAGAATCCTTCATTATGCCTTGATACAATATTATACTTCAACCATTATCTGCTATGCTTTCACACATTTAGGAAACATTACGGATTACCAGTTTAAAATAATGTAACTATATAAATCCCTGCATACAAGTTTACACAAATATACTTATATTGAAATTCAAAGTCTTAAATTGCTGATGAAAACGTCTCAGGCTTGATGTTGTTGTGTGCCCTTCTGATCCTGCAGATCTTTCCCCAGAACCCGACACAGACACAGTGTGTCGGCTGCACGCCGCCACTTCTCACCCTGAACACGTCTCTGTTCTGAAACCAGTTCTGGCTTGGGCCGTTTGCTTCAGAACTGTTTCCATACACGCTGGCATTAGAACGACCCGTTACGCAGCTTTTTACCCATTTTTAAATAACATTTCTGCTGTTATTTCACATCTGTTTTTCTGCTCTGCACTGATGTCCTGTCTAGTAAACACAATCACTGTTAATCAATGATTGTTAATTATTGATTTTATATATATATATATATATATATTATATATATATATATATATATATATATATATATATATATATATATATATATATATATATGCGTAAAATTATATATATATAATTATATATATATAAATATATATAAATATAAAATTATATTGGATATTTTGTGTGAACCTCTATATCTTTGATTTTGCTGTTACACCTAAATTTCTCCACTGTTGAACAAAAAGAATATTTCTGTTCTATCTTATTATGTTTTTTAACAAAAAAAATTTAACATATTTAACATTTTGTTTGACATTTTTAGGGTTGTGTTTTCCATTTTACTTAATGTGTGTGAAGTTCAAAGCCTTATAAAAAGCAAAATGTGTTTCTTTTTTTATCATATGTCTTGCGCCTATCCAGTTATTAATGAGTAAAGGCCTCTAGTGCCATAAATACCTTTTTTTGTAAGTATTTTTGCCAGAGTCTGTTCTATCTGTTCTATTTACCAAACATTAATAAGCTGTTTGTGAAGGCATATCAAGGCTTTACAGATTTATAGCTTCACAAGTACTTTTCTTATTGTATTGTTCCAACATCTCAAAATCCTGTGAAAGACGTGACAGAGAAAGTGCTGGACTCACTTGTTTTTTTTTTTGCTTTGCTATAGCTTATAAAGGATTGAGTCAAGTTGTGCTGCCCCTCCCCCACATGTTTCTGCACTCCTAATACCTTGAAAGAAGGCTGCTACAATCTGCTGGCTTTCCTGCGATAGAGGCTTTTTTAATCGACTTTGAATAATGGGTTGACCGTGTTGCACTCTTTGACAACTGGGATCGGTTGGAATCTGCGTGGGACTGAATCGGAATGAATTACCCTTGTTTCCGTGGAGACAAATTTAGCCATGTGTGAGAGCATATGTACGAACGCAGCATGACTGTCAAGCCTCCGACTGCAGGCTCTTATATTAACTAAGATCCTGCATTAACCAGGTAACAGCTGGTGGGGCGTTTAAGTGCTCCTCTCATGGTACAAATTGGGACTCATCATCGTCATAAAAACTTTCTTATAGTGTCAGGAATTTGGATTTATTGTAAAAATAATATATTCCAGTTAGCGGTGGCTGAACGCTCTAAAAGTAAATAAATATTTCACTGTTTTGTCTCCATTGTTCCATGGGAGCATCAATGAAAATCAATAAACTCCAAATGTGATTAAGTATAGTCAGTGTGTGCAGACCAGTGACACCAACCACACTTCTTTATGTCATGAGCAGCATTACTGCAGTCAGTTCCAATTGTCACTTTTGTCATATCAATAAATAGCACAAAATATCATGATAACTTTTTAAGTCGATATCGCCCAGAATGAGAAAAAGTAATTATCCTCTTCAGAACTGTGTAAGCCCTGGCAGATATATATATATATATATATATATATATATATATATATATATATATTTTTTTCTTTTTTTCTTTTTTATATATATATATATATATATATATATATATATATATATATATATATATATATATATATATATATATATATATATATATATATATATATATATATATATATATATATACTCACTATTTATCTCAACAGAAAGAACAATAAATATACGGTAAGGTTATCACAGCTGTAATAGTCGGAACATCATTTTACCCGCAGTGGCGGTAATTGTTGCTTCCACTGATATCATGAGATAAACTTGTTTTTTGTTTTTGATATTTTTACTGGAGGTTATGTCATGGAAGTCTCGACCATCACGCATTACATCATTATATTTAAATAAACATCCATCCTACTTTACTTATCATATTCTTACATGGATTTTAACTACATTCATCATTTTATTTCAAATGTTAAACAGAAAAAAATTCTGTCTTGTCTTTGCCCAGACGGTAGCTCAGCCCTCAATACAGTCACTCTGATTCAAACTCCGCTCTTTAAATGACCTAATGCATGTTTAAAGGGTGCAAAGCAGATATTTTTTGGAGAGCATATGCACCGTGAATCCGGCTGATCCTCTTAAAATTGGCGTGCCAAACAAATACCGAGAACACACTCGGCCCAGCTGGAAGGGCTTTCCTTCTTTTCTTTGTGTTCCTCTAAGAAAGTCACTCTGAGCAGGTTTTCCCAGGACCATTTATGTGACGTGAACCGTACGCCTGCAGTGGGAGGAGAGGACAGTTGCGTTGGAGCCGAGGCCCCAAAGAGAGGTCAGATTGGGTAACTGAGCTGCTGCAACGATGGGCAGGAGACGGGGAGACAAAGAGCGGCCTCGCAAAATCCTCAACTAGAGTTCTCATTTAGAGGGAAACCATAAAGCTGATCATTTTCAGTTTGATTTAATCTATTTTTTTGTATAGTTATGGATTTTGTTCAGGATTCCGCAGACCTCATGATCACGGTCACAAAGGTGACCGTTATTTGGTGCTGCGAACCTCAAACCAAGAGAGGAAAATACACAAAGGAACAATTGTATCAATTATATCAGAATATAGGTCATTTATAGACATCATGTGTATACTTTATTTACTTTTCTCTTTTAGAAAATTGTTGGTTTAGTTTATTTTACGTTTTGTCTAAAGATCACAGTGACACAGACGGAGAAATCAATGAAAAACATTTTGTCCACAGAAAACATCCAATGATTCTTGGTCAGGCATTTTTCTTAATGCCTCACAAATTTATGAAATCCTGATAAACTCTGAGGTTTTCACATCACGAGGAAATATTTCTATTCTATATAAGACTTGTGTCAAATCACCTCGTGTTTTTATTAATAAATCTGGCTTTCTAGTGATTTTATATTTTTGAAATTTACTAAATAATATGTTGATGAGTGCAAAATGTAAATCACATGAACATAAATGCATTTTTTAAATGTAGAACCACTATTATTAATACTATTATTATGGTGGTGTTTGTTTTTCACTGTAATATGTCGAAATGTGAAATAAATAAATGTCCCATTTTATTTAACTTTGAATGTCATCTTAAGCTAGGAGGGTCATGGGATATTATCAGATGCAGAATTACTCATGTTTTTGTTTTTTTTGTCACTACATAGCCAGACGTCTTTTGATGATTATTCAGCTGAATTTCCTGGATTGTGTAGCCTAGTTATTATATAAGACACATTAATAAACATGTTAGGCTACTAGCTCTTCTGTGGGAGAACTACAAAGAAAAAATTAAAAAATAAAAATAAAAATCGGAATATTAATGTTTTCAGTTTTTTTTTTTCTGTCTGCGTTAATTTAAGTCGAATGAAGGCAGCCGGCCACATCAATCAGCGGGTAGATGATGATGGACTGGATGATGATAGAGAAATATGAGGGCCGCTGCGGGAGACCGCAGGCCCGGCGTGGAGAGAGTCTACCCGCCTTAAAGCCCCCTAAACACGGCGCTGTGGCCGACCTGTGTGTGGATCCAATTACCGGGCTCCACTGCGGCCTGCAGGCATGGTATACAGACTGGAGACCCGCAAGCCTCTTGTTTGTTCATTTACACTACCACTATAATAATAATAATAATAATATAATAATAATAATAATAATAATAATAATAATAATATAACTATTATCGTTATTATTATCCTGTCCTATCAATGGCATCGTGCTTAAGGTCAATATGCTAGAGCTTTTATAGGGTGGCCTTTATACAGCGCAAAATAACAACAACAACAATAATAATAATAACAGTAATAATAATAATTATTATTATTATTAGTAGTAGTATATTTAATTTATTATTTATACATGTTTATCCACTATGTCTGTAAGAAATCCTATCTTCAATGTTCAAACCAATTTTATGTTTTTAAGGAAGAATCCAGCTTTCTAATAAATCCGCGCGCGCGTGTCTATAAAGACACACAAGCCACATACATGACCTACCAGTGTCTTCTAGTCTCGTGTGTCCCAGCGCGCCTGCATGGCCGCCGTGCTGGTAGGGCAGGTAAGTCCCGGGATGATGCGAGCTCACCGGCGCGTGGTACGGCGGGTAGCCCAGCGAGCGGCCGTACGAGGACGCCCCGGCCGCGAAGGGCCCGTCGTGCTGGCCGTGGCCCCCGACGGCGTGCAGACTGTGGACCGGGTAATGGTTGTGGGCCAGGCCCGAGGGTGGCTGCTGGTGTCCCGGGTAGCCGTGGCCGCCGAACTCCAAAAACGCCGACTTTGAAGGATCGGCCGAGACTAACGCGTCCGATATAGAGCTCATAGTCATCGCTGATGTGAGGGGCTGCGAAAAAAAAAAAAAAAAGGACAGATAGAAAGCAAAAAAAAAAAAAAAAAGAGCTACCTCCAGGCGGGAGGCATCATAAACGGCCCACCGACTCTCAGCGCGAACTGTTTAACGACGAGCCGAGCTGCCGAGGGAAGGAGGCGGTTACAGCTGCGGCTCTGAGCGGCTCCGTGCTCCGCTACATCCCCGCTGAAGGCTTCAGTAACCTTCTGCGAGGAAAAGCCATTACGTCCGGTCAACTAGCGAAAGTTAGAGCAAAACAAGCAGCAGCAGCAGCAGCAGCCAGTCAGACCAGGAGCTCCCAGCAAACCGTCTTAAGTTTCCTTCTGCTGGTGAGAAAAAAAAAAAAATAAAAAATAAAAAGAAATAAATCAACTTTTACTGCGCTGACGTTCGTTTCGTCCGGTGTTGTAAACAGGACTGAAGCCGCGCGGAGGACTGGCGCGTGTGATCCTCTTCTTCATCACAGCCTGGTCCGCCGCACCAACACACACGCGCGCGCGCCCGCACGTACACACAAGTATTCCGTCTCCACGAGCGGAGATGGACTGCGCTGATTGGCTGCGGCGCGTCACCGGAGCGGACAAATCACACGCAGCACCGAACCGGCGGGATGCGGCGCTGAGACGCGCTGATTGTCGACTAAATTATTTCAGGGATCAGTGCTGCACAATCGACAACACATTGACTGAGGTAATAAATAAATAAGTAGGTAAATAAATACATTCCACGCATTAAAACCGACGGGGTTTTTTTTCTTCTGTTTTCTGTCTGTTCTGCATATCTTGGAATATTTCTTCTCTACCGTTTTTGCATTTTAAAGATTTTAAAAAATTAGGAGTGAAAGGAGAGAAAAGAAAATCTGATCAGCAAAGCCTAAAGAGAATATGAAAATATTTCTCCTTCATAATTTAGCGCATTTATCTTCTATTTCAGAACAAAATAAAAGCTGCTCGTTATGCAGTCAGGCGGTATGTAACAGCGCACTCACGTTAAGCGCGTCGCCTGCGGTTCTGCAGCAAACATCGACGCTCTATAGAAAAACTAGATTTCATATTTTATTTTTTTAATTGAAAGCCCGAACAGAGAAATGTCCTCTGTGACATTTCTCCGCAGTCACAGAGGAATCCCTTGACTGTAGGCCTTTTTCTAAAATTACACCTCAAAAAAAAAAAAAAAAAAAAAAAGAGAGAAGGAAGAAAATAAATAAATAAATCTAAACCTCCCTTTTGCACGATTCTGAAGGTGCATGGAGATTTCCACAAACTACTTAGGAAATTTCTCCAGTTGATCATAGATGTATCCAACCTCTAATCCTGCGTTTCCTTCAGGTTGGAATCAGATTCACCAGCAGCTTCTTTCCAGTAACGGAGCTGCAGTAACAGGCCACCAGGGCCCATTATGGAGCCCTGAGAGCAAACTGCTGGCATTTAACTAATTAAAAGTAGAGCAGCAATCTGTCAAACAGCTGAAGGGCACATAAACAAATAGGCAGTTAAATTGAAACCGATGCTTAAACATATACTTACATATTTACATGACTATTTTGCTCCAGCAGAGTATGCTATCTGAAAATGCATGACGGAAGTCTTCTCCTTAACAGTTATGGTCCATTTAGGGCCTTTGTGTTGTGAAGAAACACCAAGAGGACTTTTAAAGTGAAATGAAAAGTTTTTTTTAAATCATCTGAAATCGTCCATTTTGTGACATGAAAAATAAGAGACGTTTTCCTTCCCAGCCCTCGCCTTGACCCTCTGCTATGTTGCTTGGGAGCATTTTGGCAGGAAAAGCTAAAAATAAATGAAACAACACCAAGTGTTGGCCTGAGCGCCTCACACAAAAGACCCGTCTGGAGATTATGAACAAATGCTTCAGTAAAAGAAAATTCAAGCCTACAAACAACCAGATAAAAGGACTTTCTTCAGAACTTTTTGTGCTTCGCAGAAAAAGAAACAGAAAAAAAAAAAACAGAGCGTCCCAACATAATATGGCAAAACTTATACTTAAAAAAAAAATGCAAATGCATAACAGAGAAATGTGCAGTGGGAGATAGTTGCATCTTTTGGTTCTGCTGAACGTTGTGACATCCACACCGGTCAGGAGTAAAATAACAAATGTCTGTGTTTTTGCAGAGTGTGTGAAGGCCTGGAGAAAGCCTAGAGAGAGAGGAAAAAACTCGAGGAGGTAATGTTATTGACAAAAAAAAAACAAAAAAAAACAAAAACAGATTATTTAAAAAAGCTGATAATTTCCAGTCAGAAAAATGCAGTTCTAGAAGCAGAAATTTCAACACAGAGTGAAAAAAGTCTTGCATCGTTTTCGAAGTAAAGTTTTCCCAGGAAATCAAAATCACAGCTGCGTTCGGTCAGCAGTGAGAATCCTAAAGGAGACAGGTTTTGCTTTTGACAGTCCAGACAAAATTCCACTGAAAGGCCTTGAATTCAGGGGTGTTAGAGTAAAGGGGGAGACATTTTTATACAGACGTACTAGTGTATCCTTCACTGCATTTTCTCCTTTCAACTCATCTGACCAGTCAAATTCAACTATTTGCTTTTAACAAACAGATTTCTGCGACTTTTTATCTCTAACGTGTTTTTTCTTCATCACTTACGTTGCAATTATTATTTTTCACTGGTGTGATTTAAAATCTTAGCTTCTTTTTTTTGTACTGTCACCTCTCACTATTTTAGAAGAATTTTTCTTCTACTTTTTCAGTTGGTTTTTTCAGCGACATGTTTTGTGAAGTTAATGAAATTTAACTCCACAACATTTTATAGATTTTGTAAGCAAATCCTAATTTTTTTTCTTTCATAAATCAAAACAATTACCATTAAATGTAATACTGTAAGAAATAAATGTTTAAACAACAGTCATATTGCGATATTTTATGTTTTGATTTTGCAAATCCTACAAATGACCAGATAAAACCCAGAGCGTCCCAACATAATATGGCAAAACTTATACTTTAAAAAATAAAACATTTGCACGTTTTATTGAAGATACTGTACTCACACCAACATGCCTCAGGCTGGGGTTGATATTTATGCACAGTGCATAAATCCTGTTAGTTTGTTCCGGATGTTTCAGAGCAAACAGATTTGAAAACTTAAACATATAACCAAGATCAAAGGAAAAATGAAAACATATTTATATGAGAGATTCCAGTTTGTACATAAATGACCCCATGTGATTTAATAATGGTGTCCCACAGGAAGCTGCACTTGGAATGTTGCCATTTTGAAGGATTCTCAGTCAATTTATCAACATTAAGTCCAAGGATGACATATTGTCATAAAGCTCTGGACAGCCTGCAGTCGTGTCATTTCAAAATCAGATCCCATCAGGGCCTCCTTTTTTTTCTTGAACAGCATTCAAGATTTGTCTCCGGGTTGCTCTGGATCAAGTAACAATAGCAATTATTGTGTTATAAATCATAAACTGAACATTTCTCCGCGTACCTTTTCTCCATTCTAATTATCAGATTTATCTGCCTGATGACTGGAAATCTCTGGAAGACTCACAGTTCTTCTCCAGAGCTGAAAATTGCTGCCAACAAAAGTTCTCTTCTGTTGCTTCTTATGAGATTTTGAGCAGATTTTAAAGTTCCTGTTAAATACGGAGGCCATGTCGGCTGAGCTCTGACTCAGGTGAAAATGTCGTTATTTCACTTTGATTCCAAGAAGTCGTCAGAGGAAACGTTGGCCTGTTGTTTCTGTAGAGATCCCATGGGTTGATCACCTCACAGGACACGAGAATCCTCTCTGTGTTTGACTCACAAAGTTTTCAGATTACGGCCATGTCATCGAAACTATTATTTAATTTTTTATTTTTGTTCTACTGTTTGGTATAATTAACTTGTCAAGACATTCAGTCCCCTTGAATTGTTTCACATTATGACCACAAACTTTAAATTGCTTTATTTTTGACACACAAACGCAGGACAATACTGTGAGGTGAAAGAAAAGCACATAAAATATTTTTACAGATGAAAATCTGAAATGCTTGATGACTAGCTTTGAACAAATAGCTGGATCAGCTGTAATGTAATGTAACCACAGAAGAACATATTTGGATGAATTGTAATTTTATCTTCTTTTATTATTTAATTTGCAACTCATTTTCTGCTTCTACATACTTGTGTTTTTTTCTTTATTTTTAAATTAAAAATTGTTTGTTTGCCAATATTATTTTCACTATTTCAGTTAGTTAAAGCAGCAGCATGTAACTTTTATTTGAAAAAATATTTATTTTTTTACATATCTGTTAAAGCCGTCACTATATTATGACAATTATATGACACAGATAATCTACGGCAAAGGCTTTGATCTCCTTTGCCTTCTCTCCGTGCTCCCAGTGCAAAGTGAAGAAATACACCAATCAGAGCCATGAGGAGGGTCTTAGTGCTGTCAATCATTCTTGTGTACTCACAGCTATGTGTGCTAACGGTGGAGAAACACCTTCCAGTTGCAGGAAAACTGTTTGTCCATCATCGTCGGAGGCCATGTTGACAAGCTCAGAGGTATGCATGTACGAGGATGATTAACAGCGCTAACACCCGCCTCCTGGCTCTAATTGGTTGTTTCTGACTGCATTTCTGCAGTTAACACCAGAAGGAAGCAGAGGAGCTCCATTTTTTCCCGGATTATTTGTCTCATACAGTCACCACATAGTGACAGTTCTAACAAATACATAAATCTATTTTTCACAACAGTTCCATACTGCAGCTTTTAACGACCTGTCCTATAATTGGTATTGAATGCATGGTTTTTGGTGGATTAATTAAAGACTACACCAAACTCTAACCGAGCTTGCTATAAATTGCACTTTTTAAAAAATGTCTTTTATTGGTAAATAATAATCATTTGAGGAACACAGAGGGCGGACAAAGTAAATCCAGTACCGTGGCGTGTCTCGTGCGTGCTGGGAAATAACAGTTGCTGCGCGGAGCCTGAAGGCGCCACCGCCAAAAAGGAGCAACGCGACTGGAGGAGAGCGAGCAGGTCTGACACACCGTGCAGTGTTGCGGCATGTTTCTCCCGCTTTCCTCCCCAGCTTCTAGATCCAGCTTATTATACCAACATGCTGATGTGTGGAGACTTATTACACATCCCAGCGGGCTGCCCGGCTTTTATCCGCTGCCAGCAGCGTCCTTCCCCCCACCCCTCTCCCTCCCACAGAGCCCTGCCTTACTGCGCCTTACTGCGCCTTATTGCGCCTTACTGTACCACCGCTGCTATTTAGGCTACTGCTGATTTTCTACTTGCTCTTTTTTTTTTTCTGGGGTGGGGGGGATTGTTTCGAAGCCAGAGTCAGAGACAGCCAGTGTGAGTGCAAATTATACGTCTCTTGAAACTAAATCGCGCGAGTCTATTAACCAATACTGCAGCTTCCAGACCCACGTTTAAAAAGACTCTAAGCATTAAAAAAAAAAAAAAAAAAATCATTCCTCTCAAATGCTTTTTTTTTCTTTTCTTCTTCTTGTGGTTAAAGTCGTTCCATCGCGGGAAGAGCAGTCTGCGCTTTGATATCTGCAACCCTCACTTGTCGCCCTGCAGGCAGGTCATTTGTCATCCGCTGTCAGTCTGGGGAGATGAGATACTGTGGAGCAACTGAAGGTCGGTTTACACCTTCAGGAGCAAGATGGTGCAGGAAAAACGGTGATCTGGAGAAACTGAGCATGCTGATGCTAAAACAGAAAGGTGCTTTAAAAACAAACACACAACAAAAGAAAAACAAAACAAAAACAATAAATCTTTTCAGGTTTTATCAGCCTCCAGCCATAAAGCTCGGTATATTTTCGGATTTTATGTGACAGACCGACATAAAGTGGAGCTCAATTGTAAAGTGCAATGGAAATTGCAGGTTTCTAAGTGCAGCTTTTTTGTATTGAAACCCAGAAAGCGTGTTGTGTTTTTCCATTCACTCGTCTCCCACTCCGGTACCCCTAAATAAAGTCCAATGCCACCAACTGGCCTCGGTTGGAACTGAAGAGAACATTCATCAGAGGAGTAGCCGACAGGGAAGTGGTTAACTCTGGGAGAGCTGCAGAAATCTGTTGACAGGAGAGATGTTGGGCCATTTATGTGTCAAGTTTTCAAGTCCAGTTTTCAGCCACAAGATGAGGAGAAAGAAGATGTTCAGGACACATGAGACCAAAACCGAACTTTTTGACACACAGACAAAATATTATTTGCACTGGAAAACTGACAGTGAATCACCTAAAGAAAAAAAAAAAGACAAAACATGATGGTGCATCACGCCATGAGGATGATTTAACTAGAGACATGGAAGATGGAAAAGAAAAGCTGTTGTTTCAGCTGCACAATGACAAAACACACATTTCACAATCATACACTACTTTTTAGCTGTAGAATAACAAAATGCAAAACAAGACTTTTCTTGCGCAAAAGAAATTAAATGTAAAGTCACAGTGCCACCCAGTGGCCTGGCATGACAGCTACAGTGGCACTGTAATTTTAGCACGTCGTCAAAAGGCGCACTCGCTTTTGACATTTAACTTCATCCCAACTCATAGAAAACAATAATCTGCCATAAACAAAGTTCTCATGCAGCATATATTCCTCAAGCTGAACAGGTTTAGTAGCACGACGCAGTACAATGCTGCCCGCCAGAGGTTTTCGTTTTATTTACGTACGCTTGTGTGCAACAAATCCTGCAGCCTCACAATCTGCATTCTGTGTGTATGGGCTCATACACCTGCAGAGGATTTTGCTTGTGCCTGAAATGTTTTCCTGGTCCCACAAAGTGCTGCTGTCAGAGCCTCTAATCAGGGTCTCTGCATCAACACAAAACACGGCGGCTCCGTGTGACGACGGCCTGAGTCAGGTGAGGATATCCTGTGCTCTGTGTCACAGGTGCACACAGAGTGGATGTCCTCTGGGACATAATCATCAGTGCTATTCTTTCACAAACTGAATGGCTCAGTGAGAATCATGGGCTCAACAGAGACTGACAGGAAAAAAAAAATCACATGTAAAAACTAAAGTGCTGCACCTCTCCTGCCCCGTGAGGTGAGGTCAACGCTGCCTGTGCGCCTTCGCTGCTAAGACTGTAATTATGGCGTGCAGAAGAAAGACGAGCCCTGCAGCCCTGCAGCAGCCAGAGAGCGGAGGGATGTGCTGCAGCGTCTATTCACACTGCAGTTAATAACAATACTCCTCGACGCACTGCAGACAGCGTGGCGTCAACCCGCCCACGTGTGTCTCCTTCGATATGTTTGTGTATGAGAGGCTGACTGGAGGGAGCGAGCAGGGCGTGTGTGAGACAGAGAGACAGGCTGGGATGGCTTTACGTAGGGAAAGTTGGAGGGTGAGTCAAAGTCTTAGTTGACCTCAACAAAGGTTACAGTTTGGCCTGTTGAGCTCAGGTTCCTCCTCGAAACAAGGCTCTTCCTAAAATAAAGGGGACATGACATGGCTGGTGTGATAACCCTGGGTGTGTCCATGCTGTGTTTCGATATGCGTCAGATTAGAAAGTCTTCCCTTTCGTCAAGTGAAAGGTTTTCGTCCTTGATTTAGTTCTGTCCTTCATACTGTGCAATAAACTGTTATACACTGCAAGTATTGTAAGCCTCTCAAATGCACCACATAAGATAAACATCGGTATCGGTTATCGGCCAAATGAGTTTTAGTATATTGGCATATCGGATATCAACTAAAAAAATAAAATGTCGTCCATCCCTACTTAAAACATTTCTCTCGCAAATGTCGTCTGATGGTTATGGGACTATAGTTTGCACCAGAGACGAGCTTTGGGCCGGGGATCGTCCTGTGTGCTGACAGAAAGCCGATCAGATCCTCCAGCTTCAGGGTTGGTGAAATGTTTTGTGCAAACTGGTTTTGTAATGGAAATTTGTGGAACGCTGATCCCAGAGCCCAGATTTCAGCGTTGTTGAGTAATTGTGTTTTTAGTTTAAAAACAGTTTTTTCTTAAGGAACACTGAATCATAAACTCTACCAAATCAAATTTTGCAGGTAAAATACTCACTGAGGGTTCTGCCAGGACTTGCTAATGGCAACAAAGAGTGTGTGGTCAAGCTGCCATAGCGAGTTTATATATTTTTGACCCAATGCTCATATCAGAGAAAACCAGATCAAAACTTGCACACTTACTTTTTTATCATTGAAAATGATTGCAGTTTGCTGCTGTATAAACATGCCACCCAGGACGCAAAACGTTAAACACACACACACTAGATTGTCAAAACAAATGAATGCCATTCACGCACAGATTAATGTATTTAAACGTCAGACCAAAACAGCAGCTCAATGAGGTTTTGACCTTCCCAAAGGTTGCACAACCAACCCTCCTGTCTGGACGTCATCTCTTGAGAAGATTGCCAACCGCCTGAGCCGACAACGTCAAACCAGCAACCTGCCAGAATATCAGATTTATTATTGCTTTTACTCACCGTAACCCTTGGTTACTGAAGCGCATTTGATTGGCATTTCCTGGTCGTTACTTACACTTTCAGTTAGAATCGGTTAGTCGTCCACCAAGAAAGTTTGTTCTCCTCTCACTGATTTGTAATTTGGCTTTTACTTCATATAATGATGCTATGTTACAATTCCAAGTGAAATTTAATTTATCTCATTTTAAAACTTTGAGGAGGACCAGATTATTGTATTGCTGCCTACTGGGCAGGAGTTGGAACTTAAAAAAGCCCTTCCTTTTTATTCTTGACGATTGCATGTGCAAGAGTGTTTCTTGGCAACGGTTGCAAACAGTTCCTTCTCTGCAGCGAAAAATATTACGCAAATGAAAGCGTGCCATGGGGAACTCTGCTCAAACGCATTGAAGTGAAGGTAAGGCAGGAGCTGTCGGACTGAGAACCTGTCGCGTTTACGTTGATGCTTGCGTCAGTGATAGTACTTATTACGTTCAGGGTTCAAAGTCACGACATGACGGCGAACATGCCCCGAGGCCAAAATGCTAACTATGTGGTAATCAGGGTTGTTCAACAGGAAAACTTATTATTATTCCTTCTATATACAAGAGATTGCTTCATGCTGTGTTGACCTTGAGGAATGTGTGGACAAGCCGGTTGCTACGGGCAACATTAAAGCTTGAACATGTTCTGATGAGCAGGAGCACGCCGCTGACATGACAGGGTTTGAATAATGACAACCTGTCGTTTCTTCCTGGGATCCATAAAGTGCTTTGGAATTGAATTTGAATTGAGCTGAACTGAATTAACTGTAATGTCTGACTCAGGTGATTGTATAGAAATAATTTTTCCCTATTCATAGCAAAGTTTACAATAGTCAGATAGCCCAGTTCTGAGTCGGGCTTACATGACTGACCTGAAGAACAAATAGAACAAACAGAAAATTAATTGTGAAAACTATTAATAAAACAGTCTTATTCTTATCCTTTTGCTTTTAACTGTAAATTTGTACGTCTCATTTCAACAGCATATTTACTCCAGGAACCGTTTTGCCTTTTATCACATCACAGCTACGATCTTAATGACTTTTCATTGCTGTTTTATATGATAAACCAACACAATGTAGATTAATAACTGGGCATTTAAATTCAGCCCACTCTACTCTGCTCCCCGAAATAGAGTCCATTCTTAGCAATTAGCTGGGCCGCTTCAAAATCACATTTTTGCTCTTTTTCATTTTTTTTTTCTTGCAAACCAGAGTTTGAAATAATCAATACAAGAATGTGCTTGCAGGGCATTCTATGAAATAATCTGGAAATAAATCATAAATGAATGATTTATGTAAAGGCTGACAAGCCTTCAAGAAGAACTTTCTGAGCAAAAAAATTAAAACTTACATTCCGTTTTTTTTCTCTCTCTCTTTTTAGACACTGAGCACCATGTGAATGTCCTCACCACATCATCTGTAGTTTTACGAAATATCCTCTTCACTTGAATCAAAGCAGGTTATTTTGATGAATCTACCAGGAAGTTCATGCTAAAATGATCTTCACATACCTGAGTAAGCAGCGAACACTTAAATCAACTACACCCAGAAAGTACAATAGTACAATTTACTATACATATACTATGTACACTAAACAGTTTAGTGAAGTCTATAATGATTCGTTTGATAGCATTTTTAAGCACAGATAGATTCATTTATCATCTGCATAACAGTGAGCTACGTGTGTGGTTGTGACCTTACACACAAAAAGGTTCAAAATACAGGAACACCTGTGTGAGGCAAAGGGACAAGGTAAGGTGATGTAAATAACTCACAGAAAGACAAAAGCTTCAGACTGCTGTTGTTGACAGGAAGAAGGACAGGAAGTTCCGTCTATCCTTCTGTCTCTGTGTTATTCTGCAGAGACAAAGCACACACATAGCGTATATGCAAATGCAAACAAAAGTATGCAGTCACCTTGTGGAGATGATGGATATGCTGCATGGGAAGGCTGAATTAAAAACAACTTTAATGAGAAAGCTCTAATTGTGGCCATTTGTCAGGCTGTCCACTGCTGAACTCAGATAGGAATGGGGCTGGATGAGTGAGTGAGAGTCAACAGTTTGTGTTTGTGTTGGATGAGGTTCACGCCAAGTTCCTCGCTCGGTTCCTGTAGGTCGGTCCGTCCTGGTGGGACGTCAGAAACTCTTCCTGTGATGGCAGATTAGAGTTGCTGTTCCTCTCATTTCAACAAGAAATGATTTCTGACTGAAGTGGAATTGATATTTTTGGTGAAACTGAACAGAAGCCAATTTCTGACTGACGTGATCACAGTCTATAGGTTGTGCTTGGAAGATAAAACAATCTGAAATACTCCTCAAATCATCAAGGAATTCGGTGTTTCAGCTGTTTTGCAGTTTTGTGGAAGTTTGTTTCAGATTGGAGATGCACAGAAGCTGAATATATCTGGTCTGAATGTCTGCATGGTCCATAAAATGTCTTCACTGACAGAGCAAACATAGCAGGAGTGAATAAACCTCATGAGTGCCTGGTATCAGGAATTATTTGAAAGAGAAACAGATCTTGAACAGAAAACCTGTAAGAATTGGCAACTGAAAATGGGTATATTCAGTTGCCAGATCTCCTGAGACCAATGGCATGAAACCTCGAGACAATGTTCCTTGCTCAATACACCTGAATCAAATGACTTCATATGCCGTCAAATCCTCCATAGTCTTGCTTACGGCCTAATTATTTGACTGGGTCTAAAGGTTGCTGGACAGCAGACCTAGAGGACTGGGGTGACTGCTGTACAGGTTCAAATCAAAACAGAATTATTGACCAGATCCCAAACGACAATCATGGTTCATCTGCAGCTTGAGGAGGCAAGAGAAAATATCAAAAGAGAAGTGTGTGAAACAAAACACAACAGTACTGATCAGAGGCAGCGGCCTTGACTTCTTCCAAGCGTCTACACTGCAGCTTTAACTTTCCTCCCTGGGTAGATCCAGATAGTACGTCCACGCCTTGAAACGTGACCAGTAGCCTTTGCGAGCGTTGTTGGACTGACAGCAACCCCAACAGCTCTCAGGGTGGATGGGCGTGGCACTGGGACCTTTAGACGTTGAAGAGAGTCAGTCTGTTTATTTGGCTCAAAACCAAACATGGGAAGCACCGAGTTTTAATAGTAAAGTGTCAACGTTGTAAAGTTTCCTGTGGTGAAAAGAATGTTGAACTGTTGGTTCTGCACTTCACAACAATGCAAAGAAGTTGTGGCGCACCTCCCCACGACACTGACACCAATGACACCAATGACTGACACGCCTTGTAATGTTCAAGGGTAATCATTATGTAAAATTAACTTTATGAGCTTTGCATCATGTTATAATATTGTTCCCTCAACAGAAACATAGCTGGAGCGCTGCCTTGATTCTTTAATGCTTTTGAGAAATTCTTTGATCTGCCATGGCAACCATTCAGATGTGTAAAACGCCTGGGTGGAACTGGCCTCTCCTTCGAGGATGAAGCTCCCCCTCAGAGGCAGGATTCTGCCTCACACAGCAGGCCTCCGCGCGACTCCTTCAGACTAGCCAGCAGCAAGAAGCAAACGCCTGGTGGAAGGGTTGAGCTCATGACAGCAAGGCATTAAATCAGGAAGTGAAAATTCTTTTAAGTCATATTTGATATTTATCTACTAGAAAAAAGCTATTATGTTATCAAGTGTTAGTGAGACGATTACTCTGAGCGACAGGAATAAAAATGGATAAAAATGCGAAACACATGCAGTAAAAACTGTGCTACAGCCCTTCCATCCATTCCAGATTCTCCCAGGAGGGTTATTAGATTAATGCTTTGGGATCCCAAGGCATTCCCAGGCCACAAGTGATTCATTGTACCTCCTGCATGTTCCATTGCACTTCTCCTGCCAGTGGTTTGTGGCCAGAAAAACCACCTTACCGGACGACAAGCAGCCTCCAGATGATGTTCTCCAACCTTTTCCCAAGTCAGAACCCCGGCCAAGTTTCAGTTGCCTGAATCCAGGATTTATTTCTGCCTCGAAACCTTCATGGTCGTAGGTGAGTGTTGGAACGTGGACAGACTGGTAAAGCAAGACGTCAGTTTAGAGACTGAAAGCAGCTTCTGCGTTACATCATTTAAGCCCTCAGTCTCATTCTATCCTACATGAACAAAACCCCAAAACACCCGATGGGTCCGTTTCTGCCACAGCTCAAGCCTCACATGCAGACAGATGAAAACCAAAGTGGTCCTTTGGCTTTTATAGAGCATTCAAAATGTCTGGTTCTGTTTGTGATAATCGCAGCGGCGCAAAAAAATTCTAATCTTGCAATTTTGAAACAAAAAATAAGAAAACCAGCTGCAAGCATGCTGGGATTTGAATGATGTCATTCCACCTGATAAATCATTCTGGCAAGGGCTCAGCAGCAGCCTCGTCTGACTGCCACATCATTCTCTTGTATTTAGTTTTTTCACTGAGGGGTAACCAACCCGTCGTTCACACCGTCACCCTCTAACATCATCTCAACCCTGGGATGGTCCAAATAGCGAAAAGGTGAGGTTTTATTTTCTTAAAGCTCAGAGAAAATCTGCTGTCTGGGTTGCAGGGCTGTTTGAACACCTTGATCCACACTTTAGGCTCTGCTTGGGTATTTTTGCAGAATGCGTGACTAAGATTTTCCTTTCTTTGTCTTACTGTTGTACTGCCGCATCTCAGTTTTATTATCCTTGTTTAACCCTTTTGCTTTTGAAGAACAACCCACCACAACGTGCTTCGGCCTGGGAAAATAATTTCAGATGGAATCCGATCCATATATCCAACCCAAATTAGCGATCTTCTTCACCTTATTATTATTATTTTAATTTCATGTTTTCTTTTCACACATTACAAATTTGTTTCGAATGCCATGTTTCATGCTTTCGGGATAATTTTGGCCTGCATTATGATTTCATCCAGTCTTTAATGTCAAGTTTTATAGTGCTTTGCAAAAGTATTAATATCTCTTGACGTTTTTCAGATCGCAAACATCAATATGGTTCATTGGTGTTTGACGGGACAGACCGGGGCTGTCAAACTCATTTTCATTTTGGGCCCGATCAAAAATCTGAAAGTTCTGAAAGGGCCTGTTGAGTATAGATAAAACCAATTAAACTGTTA